GATTTTGTAATAAAACTTTTTTGAAAAAGAAACATAATCCTGATTCTTTCAGGTTTTCTCTAAAGCTTCACGTTTGGGGCCCTGGCCATAATTGCACAGAGGTAAGCATGTCGATGATCGGTCTCTGAATTATTGGGACTTACTTTACAGTTTATAATAGAATAATATAAAGAAACCTTAAGATAAGGGAAGTTTTAACTTCCCCCTCCTTGCGAGTAACGAGTTGTCTTAAGGGCGATAAAAGCAGAATATTTGAGGTTATTTTGGCTCTGATTGCAGGTTGAAAAAGTCTCTAATCAGCTGGAAGGATGGATTAATAAATAAATTGATAAACTTATGATAGCCTGATCAACTAGCATAAATCATTTTATAGTTACCAACCTCCCACATAAGCTGTTAGAGGCGCAATTAATTCCGGGTAACCCAAACAATTGCTGAGAGGCTTGGCTTGCCTCCAGACTTCTCTCTAGTATCTTAACCAAAAGGTAACGAGTTTAAAAGAAGTGTAGTACTCTGGGGCTGGCTATTCGTGCAAGTCATTTCACCTTTAAAATAAAAGACAAGATTCTAATTAGGTAGTCCAAACCCGGGTCTAGTACGATTATACTCGCCGACACACCCCCAAACCCTGATGGATGCTCCGTCTCATAAGTTCTAACGGAACTGGGTTTTAAAGGAACCGGTAAATGGGACGGGCACGCGACAGCTGTATGTGAAAGCAAATGTCAACAAAACAATCAACTCAGGCCAGAGAAAGAGAAGAGAAGAGGGGGAAAGGAGCAATGTCATCCCATGTGTGGCTTGAGTGTTGCAGAAACTAAGGATTGTTTTCCAAACATGATATTCTGGTGGATTTTAAACCTCCTAACACTCTCAGAGACAGACTGGCTCTCTCCAAGGACAAAATGCCCAAACACAAGCCCAGTGGTGTGGTACATGTAGTTCAGTGCAGCAATGGATGCTCAGACACCTTGTTACGGACCTCATAAGTTTCCCCTGTGATCAGCACCTTGGACAGCTCATGGAAGCTGCCACTCTCCTCTGCAGCGCTGTTCCAGCATCCCAATTCAGCACCATGGAGAGTGACATGCTGCTGCAACACCAGTAGAAGCCCCAGATGATACACATTTGTGATTAGACTGCTCAAGCCTTCAGAAGGCTGATTGTTTTGATAATTCAGGGGGCCCAGATCTGTGCTGTTGTCCTCTTGTCTGTAACTGGTATAGCAATCAGCCCCCCTTACTTCATTAAGAAGCTGAAATGCTACATGCACACCTGCCTGATGTGGCAGTCTCACACATGTTCTTAAAATAACTTGTTACCAGAGACTTAATAGTTGTGAAGCTGCTTAGTTTAATGTTGTCATTAAGCCAACTTGTTTTGTGTGAAGTTATTTGGATTCAGTTCTCTTTAGTGTTTGACCCATTTTTCAGTTGAGAGTAGTTTCTGTATTGGCCTTAGTGTTTATTTTAGATGTTTTAGACTTTCTTGTTTTAGAGAAGAGAAGTGCTTTTAGTTCAGAGCTTTCCTGTTTTGATTTAAGTAATCACTGCTGTGGGTTTATACAGCATTTTGTGTTTAGTTATATAGTCCAGTTGGTTTTCTCCCAGTGGATATTTCAGTTACTTATATTTAGATACGGGAGACTTAAATTTGCTTGTTTTATTGCAGTGCCTCTTCTAGTTTGAACTGCTATGACAGCATAATAAACAATTTAATTGTCTCTAAGACTTTTTATCATTCCTTTTATTCAAATTTCCTGTGCTACTCCCTCCATGAGCTCCTAGACAGGAGGGGGTGAAACACATCTACATCAGAGAACTTTAACAGGAGATGCATAAAAGAATGGCACAACATAGAGAAGAGCCAATGGTTCAGGTTAAGACTCAGCGGTTCATCTGCACCTAAATGACAAAGGTCACATGGTTGAAGATGGATAGTTTCAGAAAGGGGTGAAAGAAGTGAGATAATCTATGTGAAACATGAAAACACATCTTTAAAGAGAGTGGGTGGCTTTTGATTTCATCTGTCCAGCATCCACAGAGAAACTCTTGTCCCCCAAACAGTTGAACCCAAACTCACACTTGAGACACGTGACCTGAACACTTTTAAATCACCTCAACTGCAAAACTCTTGAAGTCCTTGACACCATTGCACCCAAAAAGGTCAAACATTTCTCTAGCAAACAAAAAGCTCCGTGGAGGTTTACTAAACCAGTTACAAATCAGAAAAGAAAATGCAGAAAAGCATGAGTTCAGAAAAAGTAGCACACTTACAATTCTGAATGAAATAAAGCAAGATAAGCCTTTTTCTCCAAAGTCATTATTGATAATATTAACAATTCCTGTGTTCTGTTTGCTACTATTGAGAGGTTAACTAATCTCCCAACACAGTTAAACCCTGATTTAATTTCCTAAACTAAGCCTAATGAGTTTGCATCCTTTTTCAATGAGAAAATCATAAACATCAGATCAAAATCTTATTTCTCCACGTCAACTAACACAACCAGATCACAGCTAAAGCCACACAGCAACAATGTGGCCAGAATGCCAGCTTTCAGTGTGATTAGTGCTAAAATGCTGGAGAACATAGTTAAGGCCTTAAACTTGTCTACCTGATGTCTGGACACCCTGCCAACTAACTTCTAAAATATTTTTAGCTGCTTAAAAGCTGATGTAGTGAAAATTATTAACCATTCCTTAATGTCAGGTATTTTTCCTAAATCACAGAAAACTGCCGCTGTTAAACCAATAGCTTCATTTAAAAAGTAATGCAGACATTTTGCAGCAATGCTGAGCCGGCATCAGGGAGCTTTAAGTGGTCAGACCGTGGTGATAATGTGGCTCAATCATGTCCTTATACAAAAGATTACACAGTGGTGGTCTATAGAGGGTATGGGGACAGTCTCTACCACGGACATCCGTTCATGTTTGGACATAACTTGCTTATTTACGATCATAGTGTTTGTGATGAGCTGCTCCTGAAGGTGTCTGTCCTCCACAGTCCCCGTGAAGCCTCTGGTGGTCTGAGCTCCAGCTGTAACAGAGAAGCTCCTAGAGCTCTGCATCACTCCATTTTATCATCTCAGCTTATTCTGTTTACAAAAACAAAACTTACGGCCTGTGTTTAATTTTTCATATAGTTGCCGGCTGGAGCTCGTTAGTAACTCCCCACATGATGAAGACACCACCCTCTGTTGTGACAAAGCATAGTCCGGAGTTTTGCCAATATTATTACCAACCAAAGCGGAACGAGGGCCGTGAAAGTCCTGCATCGCCGTGCCGTACGACGCTCATAACACTGTGGTGGCAGTTTTACTCTGATTTGCTGACAAGGTCTTTCTTCTAAAAAGGGCTTGCAGACTAGTGATTTATGACTTGGGTTTATTTCTCTACATATTTTTAATATAACCAGATTCAAACCCGCCCAACACCAAAACATTAACAATTCAAAACATCATAACTTAGTGAAAAGAGAAATATCTTTATTTTTATTTAATAAAGGTTCCTTAAAAAGTCAAACAGTCTTGATGCTATAAACAAATTTGAGTTTATTGCATTTAAAACTCAGAAATGCAAAATAACTCCAGAACATGATTTCCAACTTTTGTCTGTAGAAGAGAAACTTGGCTGTGGAAAATTCCCAATATCCCAGAAAATTCCATTCTGTATAAATAAAAACACATTAAACAGGGATTTGATGGATACATATTTTTTACTTCTCCAAAACCTTTAAAGCATTTCAAACAAAATTTAAAAGTTGTTATAGATGGTAGATTGAGAAAAGTAAGAGAGTTAATGCAGTGAGTCCCATCAGTACTGGGAACACTGGTCTCTCCTGAGTGACTCTGAGACTGGAGACTGGGAGCCCTGGGTGGCCTCACAGGTCACAGAGCCCACCTTCCTCCACTGGTCTGCAGTGAGCCTCAGGGTGCTGCTCCAGCTGTAGAGGCCGTCCTTCATCACCACGGGGCTCCTGTCCTCCTCCCAGCTGCTGCTGCTGCCGTCCACCTTCCAGGACAGACTCCAGTCTGAGGGGAAGCCCTTGTTGGCCAGACACATGAGCGTGGCCTTCCCCTGCTGCAGCTCCTCACTGGAGGGAGGCAGCACCGTCAGGATGGGACGGGTATCACCTAGGAGACACCAATCAGGTTAGAGATCAGAAGAAGTTTGACTTTTTCTCATCAGGAAGTTTCTAGCAGATGTTTTTCTGCTCCACCAGTCTGACTCTCACACCTTGTTTCACTTCCTTTATAGAAACCTGTCAGTTTATCAGCTAGAAGAGAATCATCAGTTTTTAATCAAGTGGATAAAATATTTTTACAGGTTGTTGTAATTTTAACAGAGTTTGTTTTACCGTTTAAAAACAAAATATTAATCCTAATTCAGAATAACTGAATAAATATTAAATGAGGTAAGTACATTTTAATAGAAGACGACACAAACAGACTCTTGCTAGTATTAATAAAACTCTACTGAACTATCAGCCTAAAATCTTTAGCTTCTCATCAGAGACCAAAACTATTTAAAAGCACAAATATTTATGTTTCTAATATCATTTTAATTTACCTCCAACATGAAATCTGGTTCTGGTTCTAGTGACACAAACTGAGCCGTCGTACAAAAACCTCTGACTGTAGAGAGTCACGGCTCTCTGAGTTTGTTACACTGAACTAAAACTACAAACCTTCAAAATAAAACTTCACCTAAAACATCAATTATGTTCATTTTTCTTCAGACAGTCGATTCATGTTACATCAAACACAATTTTTTGTGTAGAACCACGATGATAATTTTGGATCATAATTTTTCTAAAGCAATTAAAAAATATTTCTGTTATAGAATTACTTTATAAGAAGAAATAAAACAATGAAAATACAATATTTTAAAGTCAGAAGAGAATTAATTTAAACTTACTTCCAACATCCAGTCTGGTTCCTCCACCAAACGTCCACCACAGTGATACAAACTGGTCGAGTCGTCGTACAAAAACCTCAGAGAGACACGGCTCTGTGAGTCTGACCCAAACAAACTCTCCAGTTTTAGCTTTTAAAATTTGTAAAGCAGCACAATTGTTGGTGCTTAAGTATAAACTCTTTAAAGTAAACATTAACAACAAAACATGAGCTGTTGCTTCACAATAATGTTGTTTTTAAATTAAACAATTTAAATTGGACTCCATCCTAATGGAAGCACAGAGCAGCCACCAACATAATCAATATCAGTTTCACATTCTTTCAATATAAATGTTGTAAAACAGGGAAAATTGTTCAGATGTGAAAAGTGGATCTGGATGAAGACATAACAATCCCTTAACCCTCTTGAGGCAGGCGTTGCAGATTTGCACCATTAAAACCTACCTGGTTACTCCACATATGTGTTTCATGAGCATTTTTAACTCAGAAGTACCGCTGAAGAACTTAGTTGTTGGTCCTTTTATCAAAACTTATTTTGAGCCTGAGAGGGTTAAAATGTCAAATCTTTCATTATTCTAATCATATAATTTGCTGACTGATGATTATTTTCATCACTGAAAAATTATTTTACAGCAAACCTCCTAGCATACAATAAAATAATACATACAAACATGAAATAACCAAAAGCAGATTTATTACATGACAACGTCATTTTGATCCAAGTCCTATCTGGAATGAGTCAGCAGATTTCCATAGAGCATGACTTTGCATCAGCAGCACCATGCTCCAGTGCTCTGGGAGAGTTTATAGTCCTGAGAGTTGAAGACTGGATGACTAACAGCTGTCCTTCATCACAACAGAAGACTTGGAAATCCTCCTGATCAAAACCATGACTTTGATCTGCGTCCTCATCTGGACTCTCCTCTGCTGCTGCTTCACAGGTAAAGTCCAGAGAATCCAACTCCTCTCCTCTATGAACATCTGTCCCTCTGGAATGAAGCCCACAAAAGCATCAAGCTGCTTTCTGCTTTTGTCTCCTCAGAGACCAGAGGTCAGGTCACAGTGACTCAGTCTGCAGCAGTGAGCTCTGCTGTGGGACGCTCCGTCTCCATCTCATGTAGGACCAGTCAGGATGTCTATCTTTATAACAGCAACAACCTTTTAGCCTGGTACCAACAGAAAGATGGACAACCTCCTAAACTCCTCATTTATTACGCTACCAGCCGACAATCAGGAATCTCAGATCATTTTTCAGGCAGTGGATCTGGATCTGACTTCACTCTGACCATCAGTGGAGTTCAGGCTGAAGATGCTGCAGTTTATTACTGTCAGAGTTTTCATTATATAAACAGCCAGCGTCTGTTCACACAGTGAAAACCCGTCGTACAAAAACCTCCCTCAGTCAGGCTGAACAGAAACTAACAGCTGGAAGCTTCAGCAGTTCACTGATTACATACCGTAAATCCTCTAATACAGGCCGGTAGCCGGGTCTCCAATTTTGGCCGGTATCGGAGTCAGCGGAGGTGAATAATGGCCGGTCTCTTATTGTGGCCGGGTGGAATGTAGTAACAAGCAAATATGAGCGTCCCAGCGGTAGGGTTATAGTCCCCAAATCAACCAGCAGGAGGCAGTAGAGGTTCACACAGACCTTTTTTAGGCTTTTTCTTCAACGCTTTGTAACGCTACAGACACGATCCTCTATCACGCTCCTACCACACAGAGTCACGGTGTCAGTTAACCATGCTAATTCAACCCGCTCCACAGAACACACATCACCTTCCCTGTGGCTTACATAACACTCACACAACACGCAAATCAGCACATAGGAACCAGCAGAACGATAGGAAACACATATAACACAATACCCACAATGCACCTGGCTTACAACCCCAGCCAGGTCATTACACTATCAAGTTCAAAGAGAACATGCTGATTATGCTGCAGAACACTCTGGAGAGCAGCAGTAGGGGGTGTATGAACTAGTCGACTTCACTATAGTGACTTTTTATGCCTGTCGTCGACTAGTCACTGTCACGTGATAATGACCGGCAAGATGCAGCCCTCGGAAAAGACAGCAGCCTGCTGTCAGTAGGTGACAAGCTCCTGCGCTCAGGGGGGCAACGTGCTGTGTCAGAGCTTCGGTACTGACACGCGATCGTTCATGTCGGTTCATTTCCTTTAATGTTTTCTGTCTTTTATTTGCGCCTGATGTGTTTCGCTGCTGTGGAGCGGGGCGCATCACCTTGTCCTCCGACTCACAGATCACTGATACGGCCGCCAAGCAGGGAGAACTCCACTGTTTTCGCGGTCGGTAGATCTGCCTCCTGAGCACGGCCACAATCAGGTGTCGCCACCTCAAAAACTAATTTAACACACGATCGTTCATGTCAGTTCATTTCCTTTAATGTTTTCTGTCTTTTATTTGCGCCTGATGCGTTTTGCTGCATGCTGTGGAGCGGGGCGCTGCGCGCATCACCTTGTCCTCCGACGCAAATTCCACTACCTCCGCTCCGCTCCGCTCCGACACGAACACCGGAGCAAAATCGGTCCCGTTGTAGTCAATCAGAGCAATTCTACTACTGCGGCCGTGCTCCGGCAGTGCGGCGCCGTGCGCCGCCCTCTGTTCCGGCGTCCGGCAAAAATAGAATCAATCCTATTTTCGCCGGAGCACCTCCGCAGTCAATTGACAGAAATCACAACTGCCCAACAGGAAAAGGAGCAAGCACAACTTCCTTTTTTCACAATAAATCGATAAAAAAAAGGCGTTTTTTGTTTCATATGCACAGGTTTAACAACTTTTAACAACTATCAATGGCGGCTGAACTTTAAATGCACAAAAATAAGCCATAAATACAGTTTCTACTGTCAAAGTAGTCGCCCTTTGTTGATCCAAACACTGCTGATCTCTCAACACAAATGATGGGCAGATTAAACAGTTCATTTCGATGCTTCTCCCACACAACGGGTGTTTGGATCTAACTTCCGCGTTTATTGCTCGGACTGTATGATACGGCCGCCAAGCAGGGAGCGCTCCACTGTTTTTGCGGTCGGTAGCTCTTTTAGAACTGCAGTTCAAAGGTAACTCATAAGGTCAATATATATGAACCCAGGTAGCAGTTTTTCTTTAGGATTGAGAGGAGATGCAGGAAGATAATAAACAGGCAGGACAGAAAAATAGTCAAATAAAAACAAGTTAGTTTTTGTACCTGGTGGTTGCAACAAACAGACACCATTGAAGGAAATCAGAAGTGAGGAACAGAAAATGAAATAATTATTTTAATGTTTAGAGCAGCAGGAACTCCGAGAGGCTGCAGGCGCATGAGTGAGTTTGCAGCCGCTGCGCAGGGGGAGGGGGGAGAGGGCTGAAGCAGAAACTACCGTTGTTAAAAGAAATGTGTTTAACTTTGAAAATGTGTGCGCAATTGTAATTGTCAAAAACTCCAGTGAACCATTAGTTCATTTTGCTCAAATAGAAATAGAGGCCTGCCTCTAATACTGGCCCTCCTTCCAATAAAGGCCTGGAGCTTGATGAGCTTGAGTCAAATACAGGCCCGGGCCTGTATTAGAGGATTTACGGTGAACACGTGTAGCAACACTTTCATCCTACGAAACACTAAATATGATATTTTATCTTAATATAAAATAATTAAATGTGCTGAATGTAATAAACCATTTAGATTTTAAAGAGTTGATGATTTTTTTGTTAAATAAAAGAAAAAACTTAACATACAAATAAATAACTAAAAAGAATGAAATTAGCGGACATAAAAAACTCAACCATTTGTGTTTCAGGAAGACTAGAAGAAAATGTAAAAAATCCAGTCACTTTTTTAAAAATGTCACAAATTGCGACCAGTTTATACTAAATGAGACATTGCGACGGTGGCACAGGAGTTAAGTGCTCGCCCCGTAATCGGAAGGTTGCAGGTTCGAGCCCCGCTCAGTCTGTCGCTGTCGTTGTGTCCTTGGGCAAGACACTTAACCCAAGTTGCCTGCTGGTGGTGGTCGGAGGGACCGGTGGCGCCAGTGCTCGGCAGCCTCGCCTCTGTCAGTGCGTCCCAGGGCAGCTGTGGCTACATTGTAGCTCATCCCCACCAGTGTGTGAATGTGTGTGTGAATGGGTGAATAACTGATTGTGTTGTAAAGCTCCTTGGGGGGTTCCATGACTCTAGAAGGCGCTATATCAAATACAGGCGATTTACCATTTTTACAAATTGTTGCAAAGAAGATTTGAAGATTTATCCTGAATCTGATCCTAATTAGATGAGACATGAATAACGTTCTGTTTTACATCATTTCACTCTTTTGTGCAAATAAACCTCTGCATAACAAACTATTTAAAAAGAAACTGATTAATTTTCATAAACAAGTATCAAAGTCTAGATTCTCATCATAGAGGAGGAAACATGGAGACAGCTGGTGATCAGCTGACTGACTAAAATGTTGTGTTTGATCATTTTCCAATGAGAATTTTCTTCAGGAATTAATTTTATCCCATTTCTTTTACCTCCTTCAGACAAAAAGCAGGTCACAGACGTAGAAATATGACATGTAGAGCTGATGATCAGCCGACTGACTGTGTGTGTTTGCATATGTGTCCTGCCTCTCTGCTCCCAGCTGTTAAGAGGTCAGTGTTGATCAGTGGCTGTCCAGGTCTTTCAGAGACACCGACACACCGGCAGCACAATGATGATGTCACTGACTCTACTGCTGACCACCCTGGGACTCCTTGTTCACGGTGAGACTCTCTGATGAAAACTTGGTTTCAGGATGGAAACAGGTTCACTACAATGATGATCTTAAATAACAGAGAAACACTTTACATCCTTCTCTTCATATAAAATTCCTTTAAAGTTTATTCATCTTTTTGCTCATTTTTATCATTTCCAGGTTCATCAGGAGAAATCAGTGTGGCTCAGACTCCAGGAGCTCAGTCTGCTGCTGCAGGACAAACTGTTTCTATCAGATGTAAAACTGACACACTGATAGGTGATGACATGAACTGGTATCTTCAGATATCTGGAGAAGCTCCTAAACTCCTGATCGCTGATACAACACTTCGTCAGTCTGGAGTTCCATCGTTTTAGAGCAAGTTACTCAGGAACTGACTTCACTCTGACCATCAGGGGAGTTCAGCCTGCAGATGCAGGAGTTTATTACTGTCAGCAGGATTACAACTGTAGTGTAATCCTGGCACTGCAGGTGGCAGATGTTATGGTTTGCAGCAGACTCTTGCAGACTTCATGTCGGCAAAGGTCTCACTCTGTGGGTGAAAGTTCTGCGCGACCCAGCTTTGACCCAGCCGGGCCAAGTACAACCTTTGGCACAGAAAACCCATATTTCCTCACGTTACAGATCCCCCCTTTCGCAACAACATGGTGGTCAAGCAAAAACCACCTGACGTCGTGACCTCATTAACGTGATGAACTCATGAAGGTAGACGTGCATGTTCCAGATGAAGGCAGGAGTGATGAAGCGTCTCCACAGGTCTCGTGTAGAAGGGAGTATATCCTGATCAGATGATTAAGGCCAAAACTGGTGCAAATCATTGTAAAGTAATCCACTTAGGAAATCTTGAAAGCAAAGCTATGTCAATTGCAATAATGTAAAGGTATTCAAAAGGATAAGGCAGCTCGTGTGTCAACACGGAGCTGGGAAGGTGATGTAATCCTCGGGCGTAATCCAGGTGAAGTCCAGTGCAGACCCCGATACCTCTCGAACCTCGACTGAAGCCCCATGCGACAGGAAACCAGGTGGAGTAAGGTGAAGACGACCCCTCTGATGGAATGGAGTCCAGACGAGCTCGGAGAAGGAGACAAAGTGAGACAGCCCATACGATAGATTGCGTTTGATGCAAATCAAAGAAATTAATCAAAACCTATCTATGGGTACCTCTGGGAAAATGTGTAGGCATTTTGTGAATTATCTAAAGAAGAAATGTTCTGCACCCTGTTCTACATGTCATGTAAAAACGTGATGCAGAGAAAACACAAATAAAAGAAATTAAATCCTAACTGATATGTGAAAATCAGCAGGCTGCACTGATTAAAGGCATATATAAAAATGAAAATGAAGGGCAAATTGGCTTGTAGCCCTTTAAAGGAAATTTTAACAAGTTAAAATCTGTAATCAAATACCATCACTCTACACAAAGCACTATGAAAAGATAGAGGTGTAAATCAGTTCTAAAAATGTAAATCAGTAGGTTAGTAATCCCTAAAAATGTGAGTTAGTAACAGGTGTCCTGGCTGAAGGCAGGTAACCTGAAAAAAAAACTCAAAGGATATCACATTTGTTAAAAATTCATCCAACAAAGAATCGAGTGAATTTGTAACGTTCCACCAGTTAGTGGAAAAGAATCCGGTCAGAATCGA